ACTAAGCATCGACACTACAGAGCTCTATTGTCACGGTGAGGGAGCGCAGCCGCCTCGCGAAGAAAACCGCTGACAAAGGGGAGTTTCTTTGCTGTGCTCAAGGAAGGATGTGGAACGATCAGTGATTGTGGTGCTGTCATCAGCAAGTACTTCATGACTGGTGTCACTCCTGCATTTCGCAAAGGGATGAGTCCTCTCCATGAAGCGCAGATCATCTCAGGCAATGTTGAGCTGCATGGCATATGTGGCTTTACTGAGGAGGAAGTCACAACACTAGTGCAGCACTACCTTCACAAGGACAAACATGAAGCAGATAAAATTGTCTATTCCATGAGGAGGTTATACAATGGATACTATTTTGCCAACACTGCCTATGATGAATCCAACCCACAACCACCTCTTCTATACAATCCACAGCTAGTGTTCCACTACATTCGTACATATGAAAGCAGTGGAGTTGTTACTGTACCTAATGAATACACATCAGTCCATTCAATGCACATCCTCAGGTCTATTGCTGATAGTAGAGGATTCTCAGTTGATGATCTTATCCAGTTGATTATCTCTGGATCTGTTGAAACAAAGACTGTGAATGAATTTGGATATATTGACCTTCTCAGTCTTGGAAAAGACAGAAACCTTACTTGGTCGCTGCTTCTTTATTTGGGTATTCTTACTCACAGTCCAAGAGAAGGACATCTGAGAATTCCAAATAATGTTATAAAAACTGAGGTATGTATTTTTCTTGCTCCTAAACCTTTGGTATTGGCACACATTGTAACAATACATTGGCTTTTTCTAGGTCCTGGAACGGATTATCAGCACACTTGACAAAATCAGTCATCTGATGGTCCAGTATTTGATAATCTTGTCAATGGTAGTGTTGATGAGTTTATTGAGCTTTTAAAGACCTTTTTACAAACAAGAACAGTGAGGTCACTGCAAAATGCAAGTGAGGCTGTTGTCAAGCCAATACTCGGGGGAGAGTGGAACGAATATTGACCTTGGGATTTAGCCTTTTTCCAACAAGATCCTTGATTACCTCTACTTCGGTAAATCCGCTAGTGACGTTTGGTGACCTTTAAGTTGGGTTTAAACGCTCACG